GTACGTCCATATGGTAAGAACTCCTGATGCACCACGCCATGGTAATCCAAGAAAACAGTGAGCAAAACTTTGACATTTGATCGAACTTGGCGTGCTTTTTTCGGTCTTGGCTCATCTGCGCTCATCCATTGGGACGATTGGAATTTGGTTTCGATATCATAACCATATACCCATGATTCGTCATCAATTATGACCCTTTTGAGTAAATCTGGGTCGTCGTTGACGTCATTCAATAGACGGTTCTTTTGGTTAAAATTTAGCAATTTCGAAACAAACTTCACTGACACACGTCTCATGCCCAAAACGTTAGAAAAAATTTCATGGCACGAGCCAAGCGATATACCAACATCCTCAGTAACTTCTCTGATAGTGATTCGACGATTTTCCAGAACAATTTTCTTCACTGCTTGAACGTTTTCATCAGTTGTTGAAGTGCTTGGGCGTCCAGAACGAGGCTCGTCATTGGCATCTTTCCGGACATCTTGGAAGAGTTTGTACCACTTGTAAACATTTTTTTACTCAGAACAGTTTCACCGTATGCCACCGTCAACATTTCAAGTGTTTCAGAGCACTTTATTTTATGTTTTACACAAAATTTGATGCAAATCCTTTGATCTATATTTTTCGATAGCAAGAAATCGCCGAGCACGCAAAACACTTATAACCTTTACGTCTCTCACAACCAAACAAAAAATGCTATACACTTGAAACTTGGTACAGATGTTCGGGAAGAGTGTACCAACATAACAAAACAAAAAAATCGATAATCGAAAGTACGTGAAATTTGAAAAGTCACCTTACTTTTTGAACACACCTCGTATGTGCTCTCTATCTATTTGATGCGCTGAATCTAAATCTGGCCTCAGAATTGATCCATCGCCATCAGTTTCTGAGATATCCTAATCTAAAAGTGCAAAAGAGACTGTTTTTCGATGTTTTTGAACTCTTCTCACCTCGCTAATTTCCATTTTATTCAAAAACAGGAAAGAGCAATTAAAAAGGCAAGTTATCTACTTTAAAAAACACCACTTAATCTTTTCAATTAAAATTTTGGAAGCGGAGGTATCGTTCTTTAAGAGAAAATTTGAGTTTTCAATGGTACTGTAAACTACATGAAAAATAATGTGATTTGTGTAAAAAGAGACTGATAATACATATATAATCTGCAAATTCCAGTTTATAATGTAATCTACTCAGACAACAATTGCAATCTTAAACAACTAATAAATTCAAAATGTCTTTGGTGTCAAATCACGAACCCCAATTGCTGAGTCATCCAATAACGTAAAACATGCATGAAAGATGAGTTTTTAAGTAGACAACTAACCTTTCCAAATGCTCTTTTCAGTTTTTGAAGAAACTGGAAATTAGCGTTGTTAAAAAAGTCCAAAAACAGCTAAAAACAGTCTTTTTTACATTTTTGTTTAGGATATTTCAGAAACTGGCGGTGATGGATCAATTCTGAGGCTAGATTTAGATTTAGCGCATCGAATTCCTCTGAGTATACTAGGTCTGGTCTCTAGGTCTTCTTCAAATTATGCACTATGAAAAGCTATAAAAGGACTCAAAAAACGAGTTACATTTATGCCACATATTCGAAGGCCTGCAGGAAAATGGGATAAATTCGACGAGGTGAAGTTGAAACATTCTCAGATCATCTCTGTACAGTATTCACAACTCACTAAAGATTAATCACCGAACCAGAATAAGAAACTTTACGGGAACTTTCTAAGATCCAAGATAGTGCACATATCAAATCGATTAAAATAAAGGAAGTATTACAAATAATTAATAACATTAAGAATCGAAAACACGGCGGCACTCTCCTCGCACGGATGTAGCGGCCGAGCGTGGCTATGATTGACATAGCATTTACTCGCTCGTGTCGTTGCAGGGCCTGGAGATGGGAGAACGCTGCAGGCGGAGAAGACGGCTCGAGAGAGAGCGAGAGCGAGAAGAGCGTGAGATAGAGAGTGAGAGAGGAAGAGGAAGAAGCGAGAACGCGGAAAGCGCGGCTTGCGCCGCGAGAAGTAGGGAAGCGCAAGAAGAAGTATTGGGAGCAGTTGAAGAGTGACCGCACGCTAATCAGGTCACGGCGAGAAGTGAGTTTTGACGGTGTACCGACGGAGAGCAAGCTAAGATCGAGCGAGGGAATCTCTTGTGTGGCGAATCTCCGGTTGCTTTGAGCAGTCTCCACAGTAGACATCATTAGACGATCGAGAAGCCGATCCCAGCCACCAGCAGCCAACAAACCGCCGTCGGTGATCCAGCGATCTCCACTGCCTGCAAAACAGCTGTTTCGCAGACACCGACTCTCCATTAGCGAGCCGCGGGAGGAGCTACCCAGTGGGTTAGATTCTGTTTTATTTCGCGGACTCTCTCTCATGTACCAGCTCTCGCATGGCGCAATGCCATGAACTGAATTGTCGCGATTGATACTTGAGCGAACCCGCTCCTAAATATTATAGACTCGTCGCGTATGATAGTTGAGCGAATGCGCTTCTAACCGCCGCCTACTATCGCGTTTTCTGGATTGAGCGGGCGCGCTCATCATCGTAATTTGTAAAAATCTATAGATGTATTTTTCGATGGCGTAACTAAAGGGATCGCCTTTTATAATTATTTCGACTTCTTCCCTTCACCTTCACCGCCGTAGATTCGCGCTCGTGGAAGTCAGCGCCGGCTTTCTTCACCGAAATAGGACCCTTTAATAAATCACAGGGGCACAGTAGTAGCGCATTTGGCTGTATCTTTAAGAATATTTTCCCTCCTTTGCACCTCTTCGAGACAGTGAATCACGGCTTATCCATTTTCAACGTTTCTCGCTACTCGAGGAGCACCAACTACTTCATGACTAGCACCACGATGTGCTAGAGAAATTCAATTTTCATCTTCATATTTGGATTTGGATGTCTTCTTTCAGGGAAATGCAATGTGTACAATTGTACGCATGTACGCCATTTTGCCATTTTGAACTACGATCGTCAACGTGTACTGCCTGGTACACATCGCTGCGGACAAGATTAACTAGTTCAAGATAACAAACTTGAAAGCGGTCAAAGTTTTCGGACAGAGCACTTGGGCTTTATATGTGACATGTTTGACAACATAATGAAACGAACGAAAATTGAGCAGGAATGAAAGGTTAGAATATTCGATGGTAAATATCATATCGTTCCTTTCAAGATGGATGACTAGATGTGGCGCGACAATCGAATCCTGCCTTCCGCAGCTAAGAAATCGTCTCAAATTTAGCGATTCCGTATGCTGGACCCTACATGATTACAGAAAAATGTGGCTCCAACACGTACCAAGTAGCAAACTTTTTGAGATTTTTTTGAAAAAAATTGCTTTATGGTTGTTGAAAAGCTATTTAAACGATAAAAACTGGAAATCAAATATACTGGTTTTTGTGAATTCGAGATTTTTGTGAAGAGAATCAGTTGACCGATAGTGGATATAAAACTTTGTTTCATTAATTTTCTAAATGACATTTAAAAAAAAAGTGGTTCAAAAGCTAGAAAAATTGGAAATTTTTTTTTATTTTTTGGAAATTATTTTGGAAAAATTGGCTGCATTTTTTTACTGTTCATGAAAATAATAAGAACATTATGATAATAAAATATTGCGTACATGCTGAAATAAATAATGTTTTTTTTACTTTTTTTTCAACATTTTTTATGCATATTTGTTTAGTAATTTTTGTCTTTGAATATGAAATTTACTTATTAATGCTAGAAAAATACTTGAAAGATAAAAAAATGAATAAACATGTAGAAAATTGGTTGTTACGGTGATTTTTGACAGAAACATTAATTTCGAACCTTTCGAGTACAAAGAAAAATAAATCATAGTACCTTGCAACTTTGAGGGTTTTTTTGGGACACTTTACCGTTGAAAAATTATTGAATAGTATAAATACAGTTTAGCTCAGAAATTACTATGAAAGGTGAAGAGAGAATCAAATAAACGCGTACTCATTTATTTATAAACGGAATATCAGCGAATACTATATTGATACGTATGTTCCATGCGTATATAAAATGGTGACTCATAGAAAATACTGCGGCGTGTACTTTCATAATAAAGGTAGCTTGCAATACTGCATAGTTGCTGCCAACTGTTGACATTGACGACAATCAATTATCACACCAGTTCAATTGCAGATTAGGAATGCAGGAATGCTACACGCTGATCTATATAGCTATGACCGCACCCGAGCACATTATTGTGTGAAAGTAAAAGAAACAAGCCATTGTGGTAGAAGATTCACTGCTGGTTGCTTTACTGACATCCGAAAAATAACTGGTCACAGTATTACTCACAAATAGTGCGCTAATGCTTACATTTACTTTTCGAGGGTGCTTTGAGCAACGCCGACACCAGCCATCTTACAAGTATAAAACAAATCATTAAGGCCGGACGCACGCATGAATTCGAGTAGCGCGAGAAAGAGAAAGAAGAAACATACGCGATCCTGAAAGGTAATTCGCTTGTGATTAGACATCATGCGCAGGCTCGTGAAATCAGGCGCTACCTTCTTTGATGCCAGTTACTGGCCAGCCAACTGGAAGATGACATCGAAGCTCGTTGACTTTCTCCTAGCTTCTTGGAGACGAGGAAACTAGACCTGGGGAGACTGTATACGGTGCTCAAGGACCTCCTACTGGGTAGGAGGTTCCAGGGATGCGTGACTCATCAAGTGTAACGAGAACGCTGTTTGGGATCACTACTTGAAGAAGTGTTCTCGTATGAAGCCTAAACTATATTGCTTGTCCTGATCCACACAGCCAGTCTTTCCCTACTCTCTTTCTCTCTCTCTCTCTTTTGGTTTTCAAGTGTGAGAGAACTACCATGCCGCGCAATGATCTCCAATCGTTACATCATTAACCTTAATTATTTAAATGAAGTCATTTAACTATTTCAACTAATATTTACTATATAAGTTATTAATACATGTAAAAATAATTTATATGAGATAATTTATTGATTTAGCTTACCCCAAAATTACTAGCAGCAAATCTATCACTAGCTGATACTGCTGAACTAGCAGTTGTATGGGCATAATATGCATTGATATTTGCTAAAAGAGATGACATAACTGCTGGAACTCCAGGACATAAATATTTTGTGGAAAGGCAGTGAAAATGTCTGGAATAAAAATATTAAAAAAAATTATATCAACTAAATAATATATCATTTTGATAGAACTTTAAATCTGAACTAACTGTATATTGATTTCCAATTCATAAAAATAATTTTTTCTCCCTTTCACAAAAGGATATAACAGCACACTAATTATTCTAAAGACATTATATTTCATATTACCAATGATTTTCAAACATATGATATTCTGGTTAGGCCTATCATTCCATAATAGGTATAGTATTACAATAATAAGAATAACAAGAAAGGTACCCCAAGTGTGGGTCGCCGATTGGGATGATATTGCAAAATATATAATAGTACATTGAGAAATAAGATAGATATAATTTTTATAAAAGCTAATATGCAATCTGAGAAGATGATATTCACTTCGAAATTTCACCGAAAAAAGCTACAAATCAGCATTAATTTAAATTGTATGGCTAGCAATCCTTATATTAAAAAAAAAAGTTAAATTATATTAAATCTAAATTTTAATTTATTATTGGCATTATTGGCACTAAAAATTTTATTTTAAATTGCATTAAAAATTTTGAGCAATGTATGTAACGGGGTGTCCGTTTTATTTCTTTGTCTCACCCGATGCGCAGTCGTACCGGAATGCGCGCGGGAAGATCGAAATAATCGAGTCAATTAACTAACCGGAGAGCAGGACAGGATGGGTATCAGTCAACCAATTTATTATTAGCAAAGACAATAATAAATTAACGTTTCAATCATAAATCAGCTAGTTTATTTTCTATATAATCTACAATACGCTTGGCCCGCGCATTTAGCTTATGCGACGCGCGCGACAATCTTATGCATCGGCATTTCGTTTATAATCTCTCACTCACAATATTCGTTTGCATGCTCGCTATCGATTTTCTCACAATCACCGGCGTGAAGGGAGAGTAATCAAGTGCGGTCATTTAACGAAAATCGCGTTAAACTAGTTTCCTTACTTGAATATGAAAAATTAAAGTTACGTATTTTTGAAGATAGGATTACGACATGTTTAATTTAAGAACAGATTATCTTAAAGATTTAATTTTTCTTATAATTTAAAATAAAAATTATTGTTCATATATAAAACAATACTATACTAACAATTCAAGACAACATTTTTCGAGGTATTACACAAGTCTACAAAATAAAAGATTTTGTTACTGTATTTTTTAGTGTAGTTGGAGATTCCAGCACTACTACTTTTGTCATTCAGCACTACAGAATCATAGAAGTAGTGGCTAACTTTAGCATTTCCACTAGTAATCGAGTGCAATATTTTCGGCAATCCTTTTCAGAATGGTCTGGAGTTTTTTCTATTCTCGATTGATATTTCGAGTGAGCTCTCTATTGACAGTCTTTATTAGGAGTCGAGAGCCTCAGCGTTTCGATGAAAAAAAAAGATATTCCAAATCTAAAAGATGAGTTTGGAAGGGTAAGAGTTGTACTTTTATATAGTATGAGTCGTTTTCAGAAAAAAAGGTTTCTCGTGATGTAGTAACAGCTCAAATATATTCAAAATATGTGTTTTTTGCACTTTTACGTTAGGATATCTTGAAAGTGTGACGTAATAGAGCAATTTCAAGGACTCAAGGACAGATTCGTGTTTGGCGTATTGTAATTCTTCATGATATATTGTCAGTATTCTTAAATAAATTTCATGTTGATCTGTATTATTAATGATGTAACATTATGATTGTAACATTATATTTATGACATTACACTTGTAATGTTAACTTTAATATTTCGATACTTGCCGCCATAAGAGATATTAATATTGTTGGTATTTATTTCTATATTGTGCAACGGTAGTCGATTCAATTAATCGATCCGTTCGCGATTCTGTAACTCGCGCGTTAGTTCGAACAATTAAGAGAGAGAGTGGGTGCGTGAGCATTTGAATTAAGCAGTTACGCCTCAGCTGTTTTCGTGACAATACCACCGAGTTTAGTTTGCACTGTGTTTCGCCGATTATCAAGTTTTTTCGGACAATCTTACGTGCAAGAGTGCAACGGTATTACCGCGGCAAATAGCAGCAATAGATTAGCAGCAACAAATTGCAGGCGACAGGAGAGCGAGGCAGCGTAGGTGATTAAGTGGAGGAGCAGCGGTAGTTGATTTTCCTCATCAACAATTACGGCTGATCACCGTAATTTCACCGCAGGGTAGGTGCACCATCCGTTATTATTGCGTGACAAAATACATTCGGGATTTTTTCAACCGTGATATCAATTTTTTTGTATTCGCGCCGAGCGTTAGTTTCGCGGTAATTTTCGAATCTTCTCTCTCTCTCTCACCGAATATTAATAATTCATTGTAAATCCTGTTCGCGTGCGTTAGTCTTTCGGCCCATAAAAGACTGTAGTTTTTTATCAATTAAAGTTAGTTAATTTCATTCGCCGTTTACGTCATTTCATTTCCTATTAGCTTAAGCGATTTACAAAGGCTTAGGTTTTAATCCGATTTCATTTAGGGGATTAAGCGGATTAGGCATAAAGCCACTCACATCTAAGATACATCGAGTGTCACAAGTCAAGTGACTTAAGGTGAGTTCAACTCCGTTGGAAAGAAGACACTTAAATGAAATCATCTGACAAAAAAATAAATGGGCGAATACACGTACAACTATACGTGTTTAATGGAGCGGCGATTAGCTCTGCATCGTGGGAGTTTGTGCTTAAATAAATTTTCCATTTGATAGATAACCTCCCCCGTTACATTCATTTGAAAGTTATATAACAATACATTTTTTTTATGTTGGCAATTTTGCAAACTATTCGTGGTATAAAAGTAGATATCTTGCGAATCGATCCGATGATTTCGAAGATCTTATAAGTTTTAGCTTTCGATATTTTAGTTCAACGCATTGTGAGATAATGACTTGTAAAAATGCTATAATTATCTAGTTCGATACACTATCTACAGTGCCCGGCACGTACTTAACCCACCCTGAGGCGAAATTTGCCAAATTTTGAAGTTTTATATCTGAGCGAAAAAGAATCGTAGAATAAAAACTTTACGCCATTTTAAAGGTAATAGTAAAAGCTTTAAGTACCATAAAGATCATATTGTTTGTACTAGAATTAAGTTTTTTATGATTAAAAAATAAACATAAAAAATTTCTTTTTTTTGCCCATGTACAAATTTATTTATTTGCTACGCAAATCAGCGGATCATTAAAAATCTAAGCAAAATCAAAAGGTGAAATGTTCCTCTTTAAAATAATAGTGACAGAACTGATTTTTTATTTTTTTATACAGAGATATACCTTTTTTCATAAAAAAAATCGTTTTCTTTTCATCAGCTAATATCTCGATTACTATGCATGAAATAAAAAAACTTTAAAAACAAAAGTTGTTTCTTTTTTGGTAAAGAATACAAAAATTAAGTGAAATTTAAGATCCGGAATAAATTATGTTTTTTCATTTTTTCACGCTAGCCTTTTTTTACTTTTCGTATTCTTTATTTTTTTTATATTTAATTATGATCAAAAATCTCTTTTTTAAGCATAAAAAACTTAATTCTAGTACAAAGAATACTTTCTTCACGTTACTTAAAGCTTTTACTATTATCTTTAAAATGGTGTCAAGTGTTTTATTCTACGACTCTTTTTCGCTGAGATATAAAACTTTAAAGTTTGGCAAATGCTGTCTCAGGGTGGGTAAAAGTATGTGCTGGGCACTGTGTCTCTGGTGTGGAATCTTTCATTTTAATTAAATTATATGATTTATCTTATATGTGTTTTCTAAAGTAGTGTATTTATTTATTCGTTTGTGGGAATGTTACTTTGGTCGATAGTCTTCCTAAACGTTCCTTCTGCAAAGAACGACGAAGTTTCCTGCACCAGTTTTGTTTTTGAAACATTTCTCTTCTGTATGTTCCAAGCTCTTGCAGATTTGGTAAAATGATTTTATCCTATTTTTATGTGCTTTGAGGCTGTTGCAGCTATAAATATTATGCCCTACAACATCACCAATTAGAAGTGAATTATTTGCTATCAGTGTTCAAATTTTCCAAAGTTTGCAATTTCCTGCAACTCTTTACCAGATGTCTTTTATTTTTTCAAAATACACAATATTTTTATTAAATCTACTATTGTAGTTGTTCAGATTTGATGTTGTTCGTTGAGTGCTTCGTAAAGTCGAGCAAATCCTGACCTTTCACATAATTGGCACTTATATTTCTGTTTATTTTTGTATTAAGCAACTAGAATCTTGACTCAATCATAATATATTTCATCATGTTCTATGTCTTCACACATATTTTAAAATATAATGTGATGTTCGTATCACTTATCAATAATAATAATTCGAACTCTCGTATCTAGCTAATGAGTAAGAATTTGTTTCTAATAATTTTACTCTACTTGTCTATAAAATAAATAAATAAATCAAATGTACTCTAATAATAATAAATAAATCAAATATATACAAATAAGAACAATATTTCAAGGAAAGTCAGACAATGCCCTAGTTTCTTATGGTGCGAATTGTCCCATAAGCAGAGCTAAAGTCTTTCTTGGATAGGATATAATTCGGCCCAAGTTTCTTATAGCGCGAGATGTTCTATAAGTCGAGCTCAAATTATAAGGAAGGAACAGTCTTGCTCAGTTAATCACAATGAGAGAAAGAACTTAGGTATTAGCCAAGTTTATTCAGACTCATGCGCTCACCTAGCAAGGCTAGAAGTGAATGCTAGCCTGTGCAAAGGTGGGCCTATTTATACACAGATTTTCCCGCTTATTTTTGCAGGAGAGATGTCATCGAAAATTCGAGAGACATTCGCGAATATTGAGAAATGAGTTTTCTTAATTTACAAGTGAATGACTATTAATATTAAGCTTTTAACACATGTAAATTTTACAGAATTTGTTATTTGTTGATTTTATACAATATACAATTATCGCAAATAGTGTCATCAAAAGTTATTAACTAATAAAGTTAATTAACGTGATATTACAATATTTACAATATAAAATTATTAAATTTTTATATAACTTG